GAGCCCGCCAAAAGTCCCCTTCTGCAAACGGTGCTGCACCAGTTGAGTAGTCCTCGGCTTACGACCGGTTGAGTAGTCCTCGACTTACAACCGGTTGGGGGGGGGTTTGCGGCATTAAAAAGGTTGAGAACCACTGCCCTAGACCATTTCAGACAACTGGCTGCCCAACCTCTTCCTCAAAACCTCCCGTGTTGAAGCCTTCACAGCTTCTGGAGGCAACTTGTTCCACCGATTCATTGTTCTCACTGTCAGGAAATTCCTCCTTAGCCAATGCAATCCTAAATTGCAATGACAGAGGGATTCAATCAAGATCACCGCTCTATAAAGCCTTTGTAAGGCCACACCTAGAATACCGCAACCGGTTTTGGTCTCCACACTATAAAAAAAGATGTTGAGACTCTAGCACAGTGACGGCGAACCTTTTAGAGACCTTTGAGAGAGAGTACTAATGACCAGATGACTGCAAAGGAATATAAATCCTTCCGATCTCCACCATTCTGTCAGAACTGAAGAAGCTTCTTGGATGAGAAGCAAAATGTTTTCAAGGGAAAACAAACAGTCCAGTCGCCTTTGGAAAAAGCACCTTTGGGAGCCTCTTATCGCCCACCCAACATGGTGGATGGGGATTTTTTTACTCTCAGCAGTAGGGGGCCTTGATGCACAAAACAGTAGATAGTGGGAACGCTACTGATGGTAGAAAAGCAGTTTCTTTTCAGCTGTCTTGCTAAGGCAGTGGTTCTCAACCTGTGGGTCGGGACCCCATTTGGGGTCGAACGACCATTTCGCGGGGGTTGCCAAACAACGCAGTCCGCCATTTTTTTCCCCTTTTCCTTAGCTGTGCTACTCCCTTTTATTCTATTGGCTTTTGAAAGCCAATGGAATACACTCTCTTGAATAGAGTCTAATTCTATTGGCTTTCAAAAGCCAATAGGAATTGTCCAGGCTGTCTCTGCCCTGCTGAGCCCGCCAAAAGTCCCATTCTGCAAACGGTGTTGCACCAGTTGAGTAGTCCTTGACTTACGACCGGTTGAGTAGTCCTCGACTTATGACCGGTTGGGGGTCGTGGCATTAAAAAGGTTGAGAACCACTGTACTAGACATTTATAAGAATAAATTGGTGTAGTTACAACTGACATTTGGCAAAACAGTAATATTCCTTTAAATAATTAACATAGTCAATAGCATAACAACTATTTCCAATCATCAAGCTTAATACTTAATATAATGAAGCTCTAAAATCTCTTCTTATTCTAATATGTTTCAACCCACTGATAAAATTTTCCCCAGGTTTTATAGAAGATTGAATCCTCTTTCTCCTTCATCTCTAAGGTTAATCTGTCCGTTTCTGCACAATCTAGGATTTTCAAAATTATAATCTGGTCCGATGGTAGGTTTTAATTTTTCCAAAATTGGGCGAATACTATTCTTGCAGCTGTTAATACATGTAATATTAAATAATCATTTTTTTTTGCCATAAGTAGGTCTTAATATACCTAACAGGAACAGTTCTGGTTTAAATTCTATCGGGATTTTCATCCTCTTTTCTAACCATCTATGAATCTTAGACCAATATTTTTTTTGCAATAGAACATGTCCACCAGACATGATAATAAGTACCCGGTTGTTGCTTACATTTCCAACATGTATCCGATAAATTTTTTAAACATTTTCGCTAAGCGAACTGGTGTCATAGGCCATCTATAAAACATTTCATATAAATTTTCTTTGTATTTCTGATTTTTGATCAAAGCAAACACATCATGGTTTCGGACTCAAGAGCTGCTTTGGGGAAAGAAGACCACAGGCTCTTGGGCTTGCAAGCAGCTGCTGTCATTCATTGTGTGGGCAGTCCTCGATTTACAACAGTTTATTTAGTGGCCGAAGTTACAACGGCACCGGAAAGAAGCAACATGGCCATTTTTCACACTTAACGGCCCTTGTAGCCTCCCCAAGGTGACGTGATTGAAATTCACATACTGGGCAACTGACTCCTATTTGTGACGCTTGCAGCATCCCAGGGGGGGTCACATAATCCCCTTTTGCGGGGGGCGGGGAGCAGGATCCATTTAACAACCACATGACCAATGTAATTGTCAATGCTGCTAACGTCGGATGTTTTTGCCTTGACAACAAAGGGAAATGTAGCCATCTTTTACCTTTTGCTTTTAGAGTTAGATGATGCTGGGAAGGGGGGATGTGAACGAGAGTCCAGCTAGACCAGGAGTAGACAACCTTGGCTCTCTTTTATGACTTGTGGACTTCAACTCCCAGAATTCCTGAGCCAGCCATGGCTTAGCTTGGAAACCTCTCCCTTTCCCCTCAGCGTGGCTGGCTCAGGAATTCTGGGAGTTGGACGTCCACGAGTCATAAAAGAGCCAAGGTGGCCTAGCCCTTTCCTAGACCAGAGGTGGGGAACGATGGCCGCTTTTTATGACTTGTGGACTTCAACTCCCAGAATTCCTGAGCCAGCATGGCTCAGCTTATTGAGCCAGCATGGCTCAGCTTGGAAACCTCTCCCTTTCCCCTCGGTATGGCTGGCTATTCTATTCTATTCTATTCTATTCTATTCTATTCTATTCTATTCTATTCTATTCTATTCTATTCCTTCAGCTGAGGGTTGGCCTAGAACAGGGGTAGGCAACCTTGGCTCTTTTTTGACTCGTGGACTTCAACTCCTAGAATTCTTGAGCCAGCCATGCTGAGGGGAAAGGGAGATGTTTCCAAGCTGAGCCATGCTGGCTCAGAAATTCTGGGAGTTGAAGTCTACGAGTCATAAAAGAGCCAAGGTTGCCTATCCCTGAGCTAGACATAACAACACTAGACCTAGCCTGAGAAACAAGGTTATTGTAACCAGAGCTGATAAGGAATTGGGGGGCTGGAGAACTGAAGAGGAGGCCCACAGCTTCAAGCTAATTGGGGAATGTGATTTATGACTTAATGGAAGGAGGGAATTGTGCTTTGACACTATGTGCTCAGGGGAGGGGAATTCAGTTTTTGGCTTCGATTATGCAGTGCCGAAGTTATGCTACTCAAAATAAAGATTCTTTAAGGTAAACAAGGCCTCGAAGTTCTTTTGAAGAGTTTCGTCTGTCAGAACCATGACAGTAATAACTGCAGGGATTCCCTTAATACAGTGGTTCTCAACCTTTTTAATGCCACGACCCCCCAACCGGTCGTAAGTCGAGGACTACTCAACTGGTGCAGCACCGTTTGCAGAATGGGACTTTTGGCGGGCTCAGCAGGTCAGAGACAGCCTGGACAATTCCTATTGGCTTTTGAAAGCCAATAGAATTAGACTCTATTCAAGAGAGTCTATTCTATTGGCTTTCAAAAGCCAATAGAATCAAAGGGAGTAGCACAGCTAAGGAAAAGGGGGAAAAAAATGGCGGATTGCGTTGTTTGGTGACCCCCGTGAAATGGTCGTTCGACCCCAAATGGGGTCCTGACCCACAGGTTGAGAACCACTGCCTTAATAAGTGTGGCAAGAAAGGTTGTAAAATGGGGCAAAATTCACTTAACAAGTGTGACACCGCTAGCGACAGGAATTTTGGGCTCTGCTATGGTCCTATGTTGAAGGCCACCTGTAACAGCTGAAGAATAGACACCTTTCGCCCAGGTTAGGGAACAATGGAGAAAATTTCATTTGCATAATAGGGGAGAGAATGGCCTTTGAAGAGCAATGTACAGTAGCGGCCAAAATTGTGGAAAGCTTTTGGGAAAAGTGTACGGTAGGAATGCCACCTTTGGTTAAGTTTCCACCCATTTTTCTTCTCATTTCTTTATAACTGTAGCCTTGTTCACTTAATAATACTATTTTACGTCGCTTTCTGGGCGACTGGTCAACTCTTTGCCACCATTACTTTAATTTTATTACATTTTACAAGCTCACTAAATGAAAGAACACCAAAAAACCCAGCCAACTCGATAGCGATCACATAACACACTGACAAATGTCCTCCTCTCAGCTTCAATACAGGACATCAATAACTGGATCCTACCGTGATCTGATTGGCTCATTGCCAAAACAAGATGACACCTGATTGGTTCTCTAAACACTCGTGCTCATTGGCTACAATCAGACGAAGGGAAACTACCTGAGATCAACCTAAGCAAGTTGTGCTTCCTTTTTCTGGTTATTTTATAACTTTTCACAGAATACGGTACAGATAGTTGAACAAAGTTTGTTGCGTTACGTTCTTGATTAAATTATCTTTCCATTGATATATAATTTTATGGTACTACTCCAAAAAAAGAGTGGTGTTATTAGTCATCAAACCTCAAATGTACACTTTTCCCAAAAGGTTTCCACAATTTTGGCCACTACTGTGGATAGGGGGTATGCTGGTGTCATTTAAGTACTTTATCTTTACCACTTGGATTCTGTGGGGAGAAAATTGAGCGCTGTAGTATTATTGTAGAAATGGTCTCCTTCTTTTAAAACCCACCATGGTACACCAACACAGCTTCTGAAAGGGTCTTCAAGTTTCAGAATTCAAGGGGAGATAAGTTCCATTAATTTCTTAGAACCTCAACTTAATAACAGTTTGTTTAGCGACCGTTCGAAATTACGTCACTCAAAAAAGCGACTTGACCGGTTTCCCACACCCATGACCGTTCCAGCAAGATTGTGCGATCGAAGTTCAGATGCTTGGCAACTGACTCCTATTTACGACGATTGTAGTGCCTCTGTGACTTTTAAGACCAACAGAATCAATGGGGAAGCCAAATTCACTTTACAACCGTGTGACTAACTTCACACCTGCAGTGATTCCCTTAACGACTGTGACGAGAAAGGCCGTAAAAGGAGGCGCAAAATTCGCTTAACCTCTCGCCTCGCTTAGCAACCTAAATTTTGGGCTCCGTCGTGGTTGTACGGCGAGGACCACCTGTAACTGGGGAGGGGCGTCTTAAGCCCACAGATCCACAACTCGGACGAAGGAAGAAAATTACACCCTTCCTTGGAAGTCATTCTGCTTTCCCCACCCCCCTTCTTCTCTTCAGGCTTCCTGACTTTCGTGAACTGTGCCTACGTGAAGTGGGGAACCCGGGTCCAGGACCTGTCCACCTACGCCAAGGTGCTAGCCCTCATTGTTGTGATCATTGCAGGCATCGTCCGCATTGGACAAGGTACTGAAACTCTGGCTGCGGGGTTTTTACTCTCATACCATCCCCCAGGGGCCAGGAAGGTGGGGTACTGCCACCCCAATTGATAAAAGTTGAGCCCTTCACTTTTGGAAGAAGGAATCTTTGCCTACATTGCAAGAATGGTTTTTTAAAGTTTCTTATTTGGCGGAAATGGCAAAGATTTCGGCTTTCTTGAAAGATCAATCGCAGGAGAAGTATCGCCTGGTATGGAAAAGATGGATAGATTTCATACAATATAAGTTGGATATAAAAAAAATACGACTTAGTTTTTGAATGATTTATAATTAAAGTTGAAGATAGTTCTTAGATATTTTCTTTTATTTTTATTTTTTATTTTTTTTTAATTTTTCTTTTTCTGTTTTTTCTTTTCTTTCTTCTTGTATTTTTTTATATATTGTTGTTAATTATTTTATAATTTGTTTAATTCACGTATTTAGATTTGTTTATGGTTTATAAGTGTTTCAAGATTCTTTTAAATTTTTTTTTTTAATTAAGCCTGTATTCAGCTCTGGGAAGATTGGGGGAGGGGAGGGGTGGGAGGGTGTGGGGGAGGGGAATTTTTTCTTTTTGTAAAACCTAAAAATTTTCAATAATTAAAAAAAAAAAAAAAGTTGAGCCCTTGTCAGGGGTGAGATTCAAACTGAGTTATAATAATAATAGTAGTAGTAAAGTTGGAAGGGACCTTGGAGGTCATCTAGTCCAACCCCCTGCTCGGGCAGGAACCCTACACCATTTCAGACAAATGGCTGTCCAGTCTCTTCTTAAAAACTTCCAGGGTTGGAGCATTTACTGCTTCTGGAGGAAAGCTGTTCCACTGATTAATTGTTCTCACTGTCAGGAAGTTTCTCCTTAGTTCTAGGTTGCTTCTCTCCTTGATTAGTTTCCACCCGTTGCTTCTTGTCCTGCCTTCAGGTGCTTTGGAAAATAGCTTAATTCCCTCTTCTTTATGGCAGCCCCTGAGATATTGGAATACTGCTATCATGTCCCCCCTTGTCCTTCTCTTCGTTAAACTAGACATACCCAATTCTAGCAACCGTTCCTCATATGTTTTAGCCTCCAGTCCCCTAATCATCTTTGAAACGAAGCGTCCCAGTGTTGAGGGGTCCTTGATGCTCTCTGAGCTTGCTTGTTAGCACTGATAATGTTACCTAGTTGGGGTCATGAAATGTGCACAACCCACGTTACTAACTGAAGAACTAACGGCAGTTCGGACTGAACAACGGCGGCAGGAAAAGCCGTAAAACGGGGCGGGGGGGCAAAACTCACTCGAACAAGTGTCTCGCTTCGCTACGGAAGTTTTGGGCTCCCGTGGGTGGTCCAGAAGCGGAGGATTCCCCCGTGTTTCCGTGTAATTTGGGGGCAAAACCTTTGCATTTTTTTTCTCTCTCTCTCTCTCTCCCACAGGACATTCCGAGAATTTGGCCGACGCGTTCGAGGGATCGGCCTGGGACGTGGGAAACATCGCGCTGGCCCTCTACTCCGCGCTCTTCTCCTACTCGGGATGGGACACCCTTAATTTTGTCACGGAGGAAATCAAGAACCCCGAAAGGTCAGCCTTGCAAACTAGCTGGAGGAAAAAAAACTGTGGGATCCTTCCCGGCTTGTTGACATCACTGGGCTCGGCGTGTTCCCGTCCCACGGTCCAGGAGGATAGGGCAAATGTTGCTTCCCCACCCCTTGTTTCCGTGGAAGGACCTTAGGATTTTATGCTGACCCTCCCAAAGGGGCAAGTCGGAGGAGGAGGAGGTGGTTGAACCTGATTAACTGGCCCTTCCTTGTTCTTCAGACTTTGTCTCCAATCCATAAATTCCTGGCTGGAGATTAAGCTGGCAGGAGTCCTTGCTCGGCTGAAGGATCCTTCTCTTTCTTGGGTGTGGAATTCACACGGTCTAGCCCAGGGGTAGGCAACCTTGGCTCTTTTATGACTTGTGGACTTCAACTCCCAGAATTCCTGAGCCAGCATGGGGGAACTATGGCTCCCTCATGACTCGTGGACTTCAACTCCCAGAATTCCTGAGCCAGC